AATGAGTGGAACCACTTAAATGAGCACTTAAAACTTCATAAAAAGTAAAATGTATTTCCGGAATCTGCATCTTTGGTCTGATTTCTTAGAACGATTAAGAAAGAATAAGCCTGTTGATTCGGAATTTCAAAATTTATTGAAAAAAGAGACTAAAAGAGACAAGTATTGGCACGACGTTATTGAAAGAATTACATATGCTATTCAGTTTTTTAGCCAAACAAAACTTAGCCTCCTTTGGTTCCAGTAACAAATTATTCGAAAGAAATAGTAATTTTTAAAGTGTATGGAAATGATCACAAAGTCTGACCTATTATGTCTGTATATATTAATAAAATTCAAACTAAAAAAAATATGCCTCATTATCTTGGAGATAAAATTCAAAATGAAACAATAAGCTTATCAGGGGATAATATAAAGCAAATTATTTTAAATAAGGTCAATCAGGCAAAGTTTTTTTCTATTTCACTTGATTGTACTCCTGATGCCAGCCATCAGGAGCACATGTAAATATGTATGAGGTATCTTAATTTAGAAAGTACAGGCATGAGTATTGAAGAAAGGTTTTTAGTATTTTGTGTTACAAGAGATACGACCGGTAAAGAACAAACAACATTCTTATTAAAGACTTTAGAGGAAAATGGTTTAGATATTAGTAATTTAAGCGGCCAAGAATACGACAATGGGTCGAACATATGGGAGGTAAACAGTTTTCGAGTAATTATGCTCAAATCGGGCCTTTTCCGAATAAAAAGTTAAAATAAGTTTATAAGGTATTTCTCCCCCTTTTCATGCCTCGTGTTGTAGTGGTCAGCACGCTCGACGCTATTCGAGAGTTGTGGTTCGAATCCCGGGGAGGCATGCTCATTTTTCATAATCCTCTTCGAAATAACTAATGTCTCTACATTTAACATAATATGTAACCACGCTACCTTTTTTCATGTGAATAACATATAACAACAATCACGAAAAGAAAATGTTCAAATTACTACGGTTGCAACAGTAGAAACAAAACAAGGATTAAACAATTTGTCAAATGCGTCTACACTTACATACGTATTGCCATCACGTATTTTCACGTTCAAAGAAGATAGAATAGAACACCAAAGACGAACTTCTGCTCTGGACTCAAATATTCGGTCAAACAAGATAGTGTGCTAGGAGAAAAGAACACTCAGAGGCTGCCTTAACACAGTAAAATGCCTCAACCCCTAGAGGCGATCCTATGAGGCCGCTAACCTATCGGTCGAGCCGACGAGCTAAGCCGAGTATACAGGAATACAGCAACCGACATTACACTTCCCCGTCCTGAAGCGATTGTAAAAACTGCTATCAACAGGGGCGGCCCCAACCCCGGACAGCAGAACGAAGTCACTTAAACACTGTCAGACAAACCGGGCCACCAATCCGGTCTGCTAACACTACGTTATGGTATACAGACGTCGGCTTTAGGCGCCTCTAGGGAGAAACCAGGGAAGGACATGAATATGCAGTTTTGAGGTTCCGGGCGCCCACTGGAAACCTCAAGCAGTTTCAAGGCTCGCTGAATTCGCCAACTCCACCGACGGGGGTGTTTCGCTCCGGACAACCATCAATATAAGACTATATAGCTCCAACCACAACCAACGGAACGAACAAAACAGTACCATATAGTACCGAGCTTGAAACAGCCATCGCCAGCGATGACACCAGTCCGCTGGAGACTGATTTCAAACACCCGTGGCCGATACTACCTAGGTACAGATCTTAATCAGTAGCTTCCCATGTTTTATCTGAGTCGACCCCCGGAAGGGCATTCAAATAAGACAAGAGGCGGGGAACCACTGGGTGAGCAGCTGTGCCGCCATGGAGACTTTCAGCTTTATTGCTCACTCAGTGGGGCCATGTTTATTTAAATTTTATAATCTATACAATATATGAAATTTGGATATACATAAATATATACATTAAATAAAGCTACGAGAAAAAAATTGATATATCTACATAATTAATTCATTCTAATTTGAAACTTTAGTAATAGCTGCGGAGATGAATTTAGTATTTTTATGAGTTCATAAGCGTTTATGAACAGTTCATAGGAATTTTAGTTCATAAAGATATTAAGTGCATAAATTCAATTAGTACATTGGAATTAGAGTTTATAGAATTATTTAAAAGGGTTAAAAATTCATAGGTTCCTTTTTGATGTCTTGAATATCAATAAGACAAGACAAAAACACGTTTAAATAAGACAAGAATTTTCTTGCTCAGACAGCGAGACGGATTGCTTGTTTTAATGATTGCCTAGCGCCTTTTTGACTCGGCGCCGTCGTGCGCCGCGCGACTCTGCATCTATTGTCGGGGCGGGCCTGGCCGTGGTTGCTCGTAGACGACCACTGCTGAACCGTCCTGCTGTTTCTGTAGTTTGAAATGCTCTTCAAAGTCGTGAAATGAAGCTGTGTGCAATCCCAAAATCCGCAGTCACACTTGTCACCTTTAGATCTTTCTGTCTTCCCAATGATTGGACCTCGGGTAAAATTATCCAAATATCATCTAACAGATTAATTGTTCAGCATTTCACACTGAGGCGGCAATTCAAAGTCGTTTAAACTGATATATGCGGTGCAATAGCTTCTCCAAAATGCTAACTCACACCGCCAGGGATCTTTATACCCCTCCACTCCTCAATTATGTTTAGCTGCATATATGCGCATGTGCTATAACCTAATCCGTACCTAATCCTAGGCAATCTCCTGATTAGTCTTTCAGTCTGTTCTGCCTCTTCGTTCCGTTGAACTAATTTTTCAACTTCCTCCTTAATTTTTGCACACTAGTGTATATATATAATTATTAATTTTGCACTTATGATTATCTTCTAGGAAACTTATCCTATCTCCAATGGTTATCTCCTAGGATATAGGTTTAGATAGATAGATAAATAGATTGATATATACACACACAGCTACACCCTTACCCAACATAAAAGTCCTTACTTGGCCTTTTATTTTCAGAGTCGTTTCTTAGTTCGTATACAGATACGTCCAATTAGAAAAGTGTTTCAAATGAAAAAAAAATTGACGACATTTTCAACTTGTCTTGAAGGATCGGTTAATTCAGTCAAAATAATGATAGGAAATAAGTCAATGAAGTGTAGCAAAAAGTCTGTATAATTTAATAGGCGTACAAGGAACTCATCAGATTTTTTGTTTTCCTTTTGGAAGCAAGAATTTCGTCTATTTTAACGACTCGACTAAGGTCTCTAGTTTATTTATTTATTTATTTATTTTTTGCAGAAGTTTGAACCTGTGACTATCGAACTTCCTTCACATATATCATTATTCTATAACAGTAGATTGTAGTTTTATCATCTGTGTCTAATTGTTGTTCAAATCGTTTAACAGCCGTCAGTTTTGTTGTTGGACAGTAAAAAAAAACCTGCATGGCTTTAGGAAGGGTATACAAAAAACCTTTAAATGGAGTCTCAACTCGAAGTCCTGCTTACTGAACTGCAGACGTTGGCTTCTTGAAAGGCAGACGTTGCATTCAGGGCCCGATTTACAAAACCAGAGGCCCAATTCAAAATATGATAAGGACCCCTCGAATATCAAAATATGATAAGAACCCGCCCCACTTTCTAGCTTAAATTTCTGGCGAAGCAAATGTCATTGATTTAAACTTCATGTAAAGTACGTTTCATATAAAATATTTCTTGAAATAATCTTTTAATTCATTAATTTTCATTTAAAGTAATATAAAGAAAAAAGTATATTTTATCTTTCTGTGCAATTCGTTTACCTTATTTCAGTTCAGTTAGTTTACCGTCACGTACAATGAAAAAATTTAAACATTTTAAATCAAGATATAACTTTTTCAAAAAAAAAAGAAAAATAAATAAAAAATAAAAACTGAAAAAAGTTATAAAATGAAAGGGGGAGAAAGAAAAGAAAAGGAAACGGAGGGAAGAGCCCAAAGAATTTTTATGGATTTTACTACAAATCTTAATTTAATCACTGAAATAGAACCCGTTTAACGCAATGAATTTCAATAAATGATTATATGAATGAAATGTACAATTACAAAATACTCTTTTATTCAAACTTTGCAAAATACTTTCTTTTAATTAGTTAGAACGTGCCTAACTAAACAAAAATCAACCATAATAAATTTATTTTTTGCTAAATCTTTAAAATAAGCTCATTCTTTGTTACGATCATTACCGCTATACTACTAGAACTGTCGTTAAAGAATTTCAAAAAATCAGATAACAGAAATAAAGACATTAAAATTAGTGGACATTTCTACTCATAGCTTTTTAGTATACAGAATCTGTGAACTTGAGGAAAAAATGTTTTAAAATTTGCGGTGCCAGAAGTTTTTTCAAAAAGCTGATGGTAGGCGAAGAGGAATGCAAGACTTCGATTCTATCCCAGGACTGTTTTTTATCTAAACTGGTATGGCAGCCAGTCCTCGTGTGATTTGGATAAATTAAAAAAAAAGTCCATGAACAAACAGTTTCTTTCATATATGCATTCATTTCCATACTTTGAATAGAATGTTTGCCAAAGAGAACTAAATCCAAGGCAAACATTTGAAAATAAACTTCACTTAAATCTTTCTCTGTTGCCATTCCTATTTGTTATGCTTTAAAAAAAGGGTGAAAAAGGAACGCATTTTAAATTCCGATAAAGTGCTATTTTCCGAACATTAACCCTCAGTTATAGAATCATCTGACGCACAAGACAGCTATCTAAGACTAGGGAAAACGTAACCCCAAACGACAAATATCGCACATGGCGCTTTAAACGAAATATTTACCCCCTTTTGCGGAAAACTTCTTTTTCACTCTCTCTCCCTCTTTCTTCATATCACTCTTTCTGTAATGGCAAATTTATCAACGTTGCTGCACTTAGTTGCCTCGGCGCCAAAGTTGTTTCACCCACGATTCATCTTTTTTTAATTATTTTTGGTTTGTTTTTTGTCATTCCCAAACCATCCTTCTCCCCCTGCGTTTTTCGTCCTTCCCTCTTTATTCTCAAACTGCGTTTTCGCGTGGGCGTGTTGCAAAGATTTCTCGGCCTACATATAAGTCGACACTCGACCTTACAAGGCTCTGTCCCGAACGATCGCTGCTCCAACAAATTAAATCGTTTGGAACAACAAAAAGCGCGGGAACATAATAATGAGTCATTGGTGAGCAAATCATAGAAGACTTCGAAAGGCTTTGAGAATACCAACGGGCTGTCGAACGCAATTATTGGTGAGTACCATCTAACCCACTTCACAATTGCTAAAAATAAATTAAAATTTTTAAAAAATTTAATTTTCTTATTGGCATCACGATTAAATACAGGAATGTATTTAATTTTCAATCTGCACTGCTATAAAAATATAATTTTGTGCAATTTACTTGGCTGCATTGGTAATTTTGAAATGTTTTTGATTGCTTTGCTCTGTCGCTAGAATTTTAATTATAGAGCAAAGAAGTTATTTTATTTCATTATTTGCATATTTTATTAAGCATATAGTTTATGAAATTAAACGTTAAATAGCTGAACTTTAGTTCGCGCATTCTATTTCAACTAAATTTCTTCAAATCAATGAAATCTATATATTATTTTACCTAAATATTTATCCTTGTACATCATTATTCTCATTACTGTTTATGCTTTTCTGGGAATGTAATTTTTCCCTGTGAATTGTAATTTGTTTCCAAAAAATTCTTAAAATCAGAACGGTTTAAGATAACTTTTGAAATATATTAATCATTTTCGCTGTTTTGTTGTATAACAAAACAATGCCCATAAAAATTTATTGCATTATGGAATAACTTGTTTTATTATTTTATTTGGATAAAACAGAATAATTTTATGTGCTTTTCTATATTGTACATAATGCATTATGCTGCATAAAATTTATTGAAAGTTTACAAAAATTTCTGTTTAATTATTTTAAAAAAATTGCAGTTTCAAAATTTCAGATTACAGTGTAACAGTTTAAAGAAGTTTATCTTTAAAAGTTTAAAAATTTATAAAAATGCGAAAATTTACACAAATATTTTTCTCCTGCTGTTAAATAAAAGTAAAATCTAATGCTTCCAGCTCATGAAATTATATCTCTACTGTTTACTTAAATTCAAATAGAAGTCAAAGAGAATTTCAATTTTTAATGTTATTTGTGTAATTTTTAACGCAAAATTATATTACACAAAAATATCAAAATATAAAAAAAAAACATTATAAAGTTAATATAAATATTAAAAAGCCATTTACATAAAATAAAAAATAGAAATGTATATAGAGTGACTTGCAAACTATATGCTATCGCAACGTTTCATTATAACAATATTACATTTTTATTCAATATGCACAAAATAACATTCAACAAAAGCAGAATTAGAAAAGTTTCCAAATTACCGATTATAGGCCGTTAAAGTAACCTATTTTATTAATGACATTCATCATAATACAAAATATCATTCGATGCAAAATATTGTTAAGAAATACAGGTAAAGTGACTTTTTAAATGATTAGATATGATTGGATTATTTAATTATGGCAAAGCACACGAGGGCTATCTGCCTAAAGGGAAGGATGCCTTCGTGGAGGAATTTCTAAGGTAAACTGGCTCGTATACACGTTACACATGGGGAAAACCACGAAAACGCCCATGCAGCCATCCCGTTCGCGGGATTCGAGCCTCGGACCGAACTACCAGTGTTCAGCGTCTCTACCGTTCGGCCGCTGGTGGGCCCTTTTAAATGATTAATGAAGCTTTTTTGTAATATTGAAAATAATTATACATGGTCGTTTGGCAACAGTATTAATTTTATTGCATACATAATTAAATCTCGTGCTGAAAACAATAATCTGAACGGGTTTTTTAGAATGGTATACATTTATTAAATATATATTATTATTTTAAATCTAACTGTTTTATTGGTTATTTCCGCTTAACATCTCAGCGTATTTGTTTAAGTTATTAAGATTTTACTAATTTAACATTCATTTTAATGAATTTATCTATAGCCATAAAAAATTTTCACTATTAGGAGAAGTCTAAAATTTTCAATCTCAATTGAAGCTTTTTTTTTTTCCCCCTTTCTAATTTTATTTTTTACTTATTTGTTATGATGAAAGATATTATTTCCTAAGAGATAATATTTGAATAAGTACGCATAAAATGGAACAAATACCTAGTAAAAATAATCCGAATATAGTAATAGGACAGCTTTTTCATCATACAACCACAACTGCATTTAAGTTGTAAATAACAGCGAAATTAGTTGCAGAGAAGCCGCTCGTATTTCAAGTATTTTATTAACAGTCTTTTTTATGATTGGGAAATATCAAAATACATTGAACCTATATTCCAAATTATTTTGATCTTTTGCAATGGTGATTATTTTAGGGACGTAATATTCAATACCGATTCTTTATATGATTTCAGAAATCAGTTAATCAGAAGTTAGTTACAGGTCAGTCAATAAAAATACAATTGCACATTAAATTTCTTAATTAAAGACAGAAATGTCCGGTTTCTGTATATATGGTGACTAATTTCAGAAAATTACTGAAACTAAGGGCCGCACAATAGGTTTTGCTTAGCCAGTGTTTAGGAATGCATCTTGAAATAATAAATGTGGACATTTCAAAAGCCTTCATGCATTGGCGGTAATGATTTCAAAGTAGAAGTTTATGAAATTATAATTAAACTGTGAATAAATTTAGTTACTAATAAATTGGCTAATACTAACTTGTTGTTGTTTCAAATGTCCGGATACTTGAACTTAATGCATTGCCAGGAATGGTCAAAACACATCAGTCATTTAGCCGTCTCATCACCGAGAACGTTGCCCAAAGAGAACATTCCTCTTTCCCTGATCTGTATCCTCCCGACCAAATTTCAGCTCGACATTATTTAAGTGCCCTCATATTACTTATAAATATTAATTCTAATCAGTATCCTTCAACGGAACTCGAAAGTGAGATGGAGAAGTTGTGTATATTTCTAAATTACTTTGTAAACAGCTTTGCAGATAAAATAAAATAAAATGTGTCTGTATAGATAACAAACACATAAAAAAATTCAAAATTCAGTTTTGAATATATTTTTCAACATAATCTTAAATCTAAAGCTCTAATGAAAATACTGCAAACTACAACTTGTAACAATAAACTTGTAGCAATTTCACACAAAAACTAAGAAATAGCTCAACCGATCTCTGGTTGAATTTAATGTCTGAATATAATATACTGCCTCAAGGGAAGATAGAAATAAAGACTATTCTTTTTCCAAGACAGCAATGAAAAACATTAAAATGGCTAAAGCGTCACTAATAAAACTGGAGTGAATGCTTTAAACAGTAACAGAACATAGAGAAAATATTAACGGATGATGTGTAGGTATGGAAAACAAAGAGACAACCATGTGTCTTCTGTGAGGAGAATATGACAGGGGGCAAATTTTCTGCGAATCCGAGGGCTGGCTGAGAAAAATGTAATTAGAGACAACTTTTCGTCCCATCCATCGTCTTTGATTACATCGTTCCAAAACGCCTGCAGGTGTTCTCTTCCGCGAGAAGATACTAGCGTTGGAACGAAAAATTTACTCGCTGTCAAAAATTCATTCTACTTTCTGGAGAACAAGCTCTTGACATTACGGGAGGGGTGTGGGGTTCTTTCCTTAATATTCTCGACCTACAACCAGTTTGTTTCCCAAGGAAAGAGAAGCATGCATTAAGAAGTTCTTTCCTTAATATTCTCGACCTACAACCAGTTTGTTTCCCAAGGAAAGAGAAGCATGCATTAAGAAGTTAGAATCGATTTTTAATATAATTTTATTATTAAACATTTTCGAGATAAAATTTTTGGTGAAAGTTTTGCTCACTTACATAAAAGAAGTGCTAGAGCTTATTTAGAACTCCGGCGGGCTCAGGCACGAATACACGGAAAAATCCTTTTCTAGAAAGATACACTGTATGCCGACTTCATATTTCCAGCGAGAAAACATGCTTTCGTAATCAGCTCATTCCAGCTGCGGCGAAAGTTTTCTTAACATGAGAAGTATATTTATATTTCTTACGTTAGTTATTTCTATAAGCAGAACGTGCAACAGAATGTCTCTTCATTCTGTTCCACACTGTTGTACTTCATTCTGTTCAAAACATGTATTGATCAAGATTGAAAAAGATGTATTGATCAAGATTGAGAAATCAAGATTGCTGTTGTAAGAAATAGGAATAACACGTTTAATTGAGCGGCAACTAGCAGGCAACGTTAATGCATTTCTCCGTGAATAGAAAATTATTCAGTACGTTTTGTCCTATTACTGAAATAAAGTGATTCAAAAATTTTGAATTACTATAGTTTGAATCATAGTTGCTAATTCTGTGAGGTTTCTTTAATTTGAATAGCCAGTTATATTATTTTTTTGAATCTGTACTATCACTTCTGTCTCTCTGTTTTCCTGCTAGAATGTAAATGAGCTCGCGTGTATTTAAAGGAAGGTTTTTGAGATTGTTAAGTTCGAGCGTATTCTACCTTTTGAAGAACACGTCACTAGGTTTATTTTTCTAGATCAAAGTTCGTATCTTCGGCCTGGCATTACATTGCCGATAGTTGAGTTCCCGCCGGTGAAGTTTTAAGCCAACTTCGCTTTAAATTACTGTGGATAATAATTATTTAAATTTATCTTTACATTTGAATTTTTACTTTGAGTTTCTCGCCATAATTGTTAGCATCGGGAGTGCCTTCTGTTCAACCATCTAGTTTAAAATGAAAGGGACTTTTACACACTTCCTAAGTTTCTGTTATACTTTTAGACTTAGCTGCAAGTCGCTTAACGACTACCAAAAGGTTAGTCACAGTTTCTGTTAGTGAAAAACTTTAAAAACTGGAACTTTAAACCAGAACTTTAGAAAGCGGAAGATTTATATTTATAAATCTTTCGGTTTTATATAACATCTCACGGTCCCTTTGCAGATTAATGAATCTCCTGGGTTTTGGTTTTTGCCTTCACTGAGGCATATATACTTCCTGGAAATTAATCAAATTTATTGAAATAGTGAAACTTCAATAGAGCGAATTTCATTTCCTTGGTTTTAGTGATTTTCAGCATAATAATTCTTACTAAATTTTATTTGATTTGAATCATAGGTAGAAGCTTTATTTCCCTGATCAGGATTGTCTCGGTATAAAATTGTCAGAAACTTTCAAAACGAAGTTAGCTAAAAACGTAAAATTTAGAATATCGAATTAA